GGGGCCGGGGGCGGGGGCGAGGCGGCGCCGCGCCTCAAGCCGCCACCGCCCGAGGTGTTCGTGCGGGAGGACGCGGCGCCCGGCACGCCGGTGGCGGCGCTGGACGCGGGCGCCCCCGGCCGGCCGCCGCGCTACCGGCTGGCCGACTCCCCCTCGCGACACCTCTTCGCCGTGGACGCGGCCGGCCGGCTGGTGCTGGCCGCGCCGCTCGACCGCGAGGCCGCCTCCGACCACTACATAGGTAAACGGATTTTGCCGCTCGTCATTTATCGGCATTCCTCTTTGCCGCTAATTTGTCTAATTTTAAGTGACTCATTTCAACTAACGATCACTCGTATTGTGTCTGGTGGATTGTTTGAAACAAAAAGTGTGCAGGTGTGATCGCGGAACGCGGTGCTGACGACACGGAGGTGGAGGGTGCGGGGGGTGCGGGAGGCGCGACGCCAGGCGTGATGGCGACGACGCGGGTGCGCGTGCTGGACGTGAACGAGCACGCGCCCTCCTTTCACTCGCAGCCGTACGTGGTGCAGCTCGCAGAGAATACGCCGCCCGACTCGTACGTCGTCCAGTGTGAGTCTCCGACCTCGACTTTGTTACATTTCAATTAGGAATCTCGAATGACATCAAGGAGCACCTTGCGCCCACTAGATGTGTAAGCCGCCGCTTTGTTTTTTGATCACTTTTCTAATAGAAATCTTACTAAATGTGGGTGAGGCAGTGATGGCGGACGACCCTGACGCGGGCTCCAACGGCGAGGTGCGGTTCGCGCTGGGCGGGGCGGGGGGTGAGGCTGGGGGCGAGGCGCTGCCGTTCGCGGTGGAGGCGGAGACGGGCTGGGTGCGCACGACGCGCGCGCTGGACCGCGAGACGCGCGCCGAGTACCGCGCGCCGCTGCTGGCGACGGACGGCGGCGCGCCGGCTCGCAGCGCGCGCGGCACGCTCGTCGTGCGCCTGCTCGACTACGACGACTGCCCGCCCGCCTTCCATCAGGAACTCTATGAAGCTCAAGTATGTTGTAGCCATGCGTTTAAGTTTTTTTTTTGTGCGTCCAACATAATTGGATTGCACGCGCCGACGGGAGACTCCTCCGCCGGTAAGACGGCCTTGAGGTAACGCGTGCGCGGCGGCAGGTGCGCGAGGACGCGCCGGCGGGCACGGTGGTGGTGCGGCTGGGCGTGTCGGACGCGGATACGTCGGGAGGCGCGCGCTCCTATTTCGTGGCGGCCGGCGACCCTTCGGCGCGGTTCCAGCTGCGCGCCTCCGCCACCGGCGCCGAACTGTTCGTAGCGCGCGCACTGGACCGCGAGACCGCGCCCGGCTACGTGCTGGACGTGGCCGCGGCGGACGGCAAGTTCACCGCCTACACGAGAGTCAACGTCACCGTGCTCGACGTCAACGGTCAGTGTTTACCGAGCGCGGTCTTCGAGCTTTGCGAGTTGATCGCATTTCAAGAATTACCCTGACATTTCGTTGACAGATAATCCGCCATACTGCGAGCAACACCGCCTGAGCGCGCGCCTGCCGGAGGACGCAGCGCGCGGCGCGCACGTGGCGACGCTGCACGTGCGCGACGCAGACGAGCCGCACAATGCGCGCGCACGCTTCTTCCTCACCGGCGACCACGCAGACCACTTCACCATACACAAGGTGCGCCGCGCCTCCCATCACAATTGTAACACTCCTTTACACAAGTACGCGAGAGGCTCGGCTCCTGAACGCTTAACGGCGAGACGCGCTCGTTATCACAAAAAAAAAATGTATTCAATCAACAACATTTACACATACTTAAGGTAAACATTAAACACATAAACATAACCTCACTTTATTACAGATTTGTTTATCGATGAGGACAGGAAGAGAAACAAGTCTGTCAGCTTTGACTTTAACAATTTTCTGCTTATATCATGTCTCTCTGTCTGAGCTTAGCTATTAAGTAGTAATTCTTTACCTTCGGCTGAAATAATTCTTTGTCACTTATTGTTCGCGTATTATATTTATTTTTTACTAATATTTTACATTCGTCCTTGTTGTAATTATATAATATTCTAATCCCAATAGATAATCAGATAAAAAATCTGCTGGTAAAATTTTGCAAACGTGAAATAGCTTATCATAATATTTAATACATTTTTTCTTAACATTTTTTACAAACTAGGAACTTATTTGTTCAGTCTTATTTGTATAATAAATTTCTGCTATTTTTTAAATATGTCTTAAACGTTCGCCCGTACACTACGAATCCGTAACTTAAAAGCGAGTCGGCAAGCGCGAAATATACTATTCTTAGCGTATGTCTGTTTACCACTGGTTTTAAATGGTAAAACTTACATAGCACTCTCTTGTCGGCGGCGAGCGGCCACCTGAAATCGCTGAAATAGCGAAGTAACCGTTGCCCATAGACATACGCAATTGCATATGCGTTGCCAACCTTTAATCCACGGAGGAGAGGATGCACAGAGAAAATATTTTCCCTTTCCCATGCATCCTCTCATTCGGAAAGTCAACTTTCACTTCCCATCCATTCCTTATAAGAAAGAGGGTGGAAAGGGAAAGAGGACTATATAAGGCCTCCGGGACGCACACTCATCAGACTGTACGCGGAATGGTCGTGGTATTTCACCGGGCGAGCCGGGACAATTCGTGCGAACATGTTAAAGCTCGCTCTACCACTGTTAACACTGTTTTCCTCTTTGTTACTCGCACGTAAATCCAAAGCTAGCCCTACTGCATGGTGCATGGTGCATGGTGTTCGGAGATGCGCGACTCGAGGACGGACGAAGCCGCGTCCCTCTCGCACTCACACGTGCTCCGAGCACGATGTCTCGCTCCGTCCCTCCACACACACCATGTTTTTGTATTTGGTGGTTGTTGGATGAACCGCCTCATTGCTGCTAGATGGTCTGCAGCACATACATGGCAATTGTATGTCACTGAGTCGACAGTGTATCGTTTCTACAGCTTTAGTATTAACTTTTCTCTGTAGTATAGTAATATTCCTCCTCCTCTAATTATTTCTCTTGTGTTTATAAATGTATTATATCCTGATATTTTATAAAACGGCAATTCATCTTTTGTAATATTTATTTCAGTTAATATTAATATGTCTATTTTATCCATTTTGTTATTCAGTAGCTCTAGTAACTCGTTGAAGTGCTTTTTAAGGCATCTTATATTTAGGTGAAAAATGTGCATGCGTCCAATACTTTTAGCTAAATCTGCATCTAATTCTACTATACTATAATATCGTTTAAACTTAACATCACTACAAAACTCTTCCGTTATGAAGTCAGGAAGTGTGTGCCCTATACTTAATATGCGGAATTTATTTGCCGTCGTCGAACTTATTTAAATCTTCTTCCGACCGTATGTTATACATTTTTTTTATCTTCACTGTTTTTTTTTTAACAAGAATATTAAAATTTTGAACCCAAATATATTGAAATCCTTTCGGTTTCAATTTGTTTCTCACAGTCCACAGAAGTCGGCGTTTATATTTCGGAAGATCTTCGTTTATGAATAAATGAATTTTGACCGATTTGAAACCGTCAATACAGGAAACCGGAGTAATATCTGTCGCCGAGGAGTTGGACCGCGAGACCGTGGCCGAGTATCAGCTGGCGGCGCACGCGCAGGACCGCGACCGGCCGGAGTGGACGTGCAGCGCCGAGCTGCGCGTCGTGCTCGCCGACGTCAACGACAACGCGCCGCGCTTCTCCGTGCCCCTCTACAGCGCCACGCTGCCCGAGGACGCCGACCCCGGCGCCCTCGTCGCCAAGGTCCGACCTTCTCCCGCCTCGCCCCCTCGACCCCCTCGACCCCCTCGACCCTCGCTTATATCCTTCATTATTTGTAGGTGCACGCAACGGACGCAGATCTAGGGGAGAACGGTCTAGTTCACTACTCGTTCGTGGAAGAGGACGAGGACGAGAGAGACGGCAACGCAGCCTTCGAGTTGGCCGGCGACAGCGGCATCATCAGGCTGCGCGCCGCGCTGGATCGCGAGCTGCGCGCCGAGCACAAGCTGCGCGTGCGCGCCGTCGACGCCGGGGTGCCGCCGCGGTCCGCTTTCGCCACCGTCCGCCTCACCGTGGCCGACGTCAACGACAATCCGCCCGAATTCGATTACAAGCAATACCGAGCGGTGGTGCCCGAGATGCGCCCCGTGGGCACCGAGCTGCTGCGCGTGCGCGCCACCTCGCGCGACGCCGGCGTCAACGCAGACGTCTACTACTCCCTCGTTGCCGGCGACGACCGCGAGGACTTCGCACTCGACCGCGCCACCGGCGCTCTTACCGTCGCGCGCCCTCTCGACTTCGAACACAGAAAGGAATACTTCCTGACGGTGCAAGCCGTGGACGGCGGCACGCCCCCGCTCAGCGACCACGCCACCGTCAACATCACGGTGCTGGACGGCAACGACAACGCGCCGGTGTTCTCGCAGCCGTCGTACGGAGCGCGCGTGCGCGAGGACGCGGCGCCGGGCGGCCTGGTCGCGCAGGTGGTGGCGCTCGATGCGGACGAAGGCGCCAACGGACGCGTCACGTACAGTATCGCTCGCGGCGACCGCGACGGCCGCTTCGCCGTGGACCCCGACACCGGGCACGTGTCTCTGGTCGCGCCGCTGGACCGCGAGGCGACGCCCGCCTACGTGCTGGAGGTGCGCGCGCGAGACCGCGGCCAGCCGCCGCTGGAGGCCGCCGCCTTCCTCAACGTCGAGGTGCTCGACGCGAACGACAACCCGCCGCTCTTCGCGCAGACCAACTACTCGGCGGTCGTGCAAGAGGACAAGCCGCTCGGGTTCACCATCCTTAAGTTCGTCGTCGACGACGCGGACGCGCCTCCCAACGCGGCGCCCTTCACTTTCGATTTTCAATCTGGCAATGAAATGGGAGCGTTCCGTTTGGAGCAAGATGGATATTTACGATCGGCGACCAGATTTAACCATCGCATCAAGGATCGATACGTGTTACAAGTGCGCGTGTTCGACAACGGGACGCCTCCCTTGTTCTCCGATGCGTGGGTCTACATCAAAGTCATCGAAGAATCGCATCACCCTCCCGTCGTCACTCCGCTAGAAGTAGTCATCAATTCTTACCTCGATGAGTTTCCGGGCGGCGTGATCGGGCGCGTGTTCGCATCCGACCGGGACGCGTACGACACGCTGAGCTACGCGCTGGCGGCCACCGACGGCGCGCCCTACCCGCCCGCCGACCTCTTCGAGATCGAGCCCGCCACCGGCACGCTGCGCGCCGCCCCGCGCCTCGACGTCGGCGAGTACCGCCTCAACGTGACCGTCCACGACGGGAAGTTCCTCGGCCACGCCCTCGTCCGCGTCGCCGTCGTGCTCGTGTCGGATGAGATGCTGGCGCACGCTGTGGTCATCCGCTTTCGCGAAGTCACCGATCGCGACTTTGTGCTCAGTCATCGCAAGGGATTCATTCGCGCGGTGCACGAGGCCACGCTCTGTCGGCAGAGCGACGTACTCATCGTTGGGGTGCAGGCTTCGGACGCCGACTTCGAGGCGGAGTCGACTCGAGCACGCCGCACGACGAGACGGATCGCGCAGGACCTCGACGTGGCTTTCGCGGTGCGGTCCGAGGACGGAAACGGCTTCTTATCTCCGGAAGTGATGCGGCGCAGTCTGCACGCGCATCTGGAGCGGCTGGAGGAGAGCACGCGACTGGTGGTCGAGGAGTTGGTGCGCGCGGCGTGCGGCGGCTGCGTGCACGGCGCGTGCACCGAGCGCGTGCAGCTGCACGCAGCGGCCGTTCGAGCCGTGGCCACCGAGGTGTTCGCACTGGTGGGCGCGCCGCATCGCCTGCTCGCCGAATGCGCCTGCTCGCCGGGCTTCGAAGGGGATCGCTGCGAGCGCGCGGTCGCCTCGTGCGCCGAGTGCCCGGGCGCGCGCTGCGAGGCGGGCCCCGCGCCGCCCGGCTACCGCTGCTGCGAGGACGAGGGCGGCGGCGTCGGCGGCGGGGGGGAGGAGCTATGTCGTGCGCCCTCGCCGGTGACGTACCTGCCGAGCGACGGGTACCTGGTGTACAGGCTGGAGCGCGGCGTGGTGCACGGCGAGCGGCTGCTGGAGGACGAGCTGACGCTGTCGCTGCGGTTCCGCACGCGGCGCGAGCGCGGCGTGCTGCTGCAGGCGGCGGGGCGCGTGGAGTACCTGGTGCTGGAGCTGGCGGAGGGCGCGGTGCAGTGCCGCATGGAGCTGGGCGCGGGCGCGGTGGCGCTGCGCGCGGGCGGCGCGGTGGCGGACGGCGCGTGGCACTGGGTGCAGCTGGAGCGGCGCGGCGCGGCGGTGCGCCTGGCGGTGGACAGACGCGTCGCACACGCGCAGGCGCCGGCGCGCGACGCCGTGCTGGACGCGCGACATGACCGCGTTCTGGTCGGAGCTGCGCTGTTGCGACACGCCTACGCCCTCGCGCCGGAACAGGTAACATACCTGCTTCATTCAGAATTGATTGAAACTGTTCACTGTAATGTACAACAGTATTGATACTGACTGTAGACTAGAAATATAAACAATTTTAGTATCTTCATAAAAACATTGAATAAAATGGAAGTGCACTAAGTTTGAAATGACTAAGGTTAAAATAAAATAATTTTTTTTTTCATATTTGAAAATGCAATCAAAAAGCTTATTAAATAAAGTAATAAATCCAGTGGTTAAATTATTTAAATCTATAATAAAAAAATTAAAATCGACTTTACGCATCGCATGTCCTCCAGTTTGTCAAAATCTCAATCCCTTAATACTTTAAACAGACACTATATATTAAAAAAAAAATGATACATGTATCTAAGCAAGTATAGGTAGAGCATACTCAAATATTTCTTAAATCAAAAAAAACAATTTTTGTTTTTATTGTCCGCTTAGCGTGGAATGCCCCAATTTCTATTTACACGGCGACCGTGCGTATACGAGTACCTGGGAGCAACAATATTCTATCTATACTTCATGCCGTCTCAAACGAGCATTCAAAATAGTGCATTTACGATACTGGATAGATAAAGGGCGACAATGTATAGGTCACTTATGGATTTCACGGATGCATCGCGGACGTGAAAATTGGTGAGGTCGCACTCCCACTGGAAGAGGGAGGCACGTCGAGCGACGGGCGCGTGCAGCTGACGCGTCGCGTGCGCGCCCGCGGCGTGCTCGCGTGCCCCGCGCTGCCCGCGCCCGGCCCCTGCGACTCCTACCCCTGCCTGAACGGCGGCACGTGCCGCGCGCTGCCCGAGCCCGCGCTGCTGGAGGACGCCGCCTTCGCGTGCACGTGCCACGCGCGCTTCGCGGGCCGCTTCTGCGAAATCGACACGGACCCGTGCGCCTCGCAGCCCTGCCTGCACGGCGGCTACTGCTCGGCCGAGCGCGGCACGTTCGTGTGCGCGTGCGCGCCCGGACTGCGCGGCGCGCGCTGCGAGCGGGGCCGCTGGTGCACGCCGAGGGTGTGCGCGCACGGCGGCGCCTGCGAGGACGGCGAGCGCGGCCCCGCGTGCCGCTGCCGGGGGTACTACGGCCCGCGCTGCGAGTACGACGTGGACGAGTGCGCCGGCGAGCCCTGCCTCAACGGCGCCACCTGCCTCAACGAGCTGGGCTCCTTCCGCTGCCTCTGTCCGCCCAATAAAACAGGTTTACAAATCATTTCCGCTCATCATTAATATTGCTATGGTCGGATCTTAGAATTGACCTCTCCATGACGTTGCAGGTCATTTTGTAAAATGTTAAATAGTAAACCTGAAATGCCAGAGTCCGATACGATGCGCTCGGCTCGGCCGGTGCGGAACTGCGACCCGACATATAATAAATATTCATATATTATATCTTATATATAAATTATATATGAATATGAACGCGCCACGAGACGAGCGAGCGAGCACTTTGGCAACGCGGCTGTTCAAATAAAAGCAACACACTCTTCGATCAAATGTTTATTATGGAATTATCATTATAACTGTACACAAATATATACAAACAGACAATATGATATATTAAATAAGAAATTTAAGACAACACTTTTCTCTGCTCATTGTTAAACTCACTCTCGATTGTACTGAAAAAATAACAAAACGCTACTCGGTTTTATAGAAAAATAAAATCTGACGGCGCCGCTGTGTGCCACTCTCTTTTTATAATACTTTTCTAGTGGCGCCCTCTTACGTAACCTCAAATTATGTTTAAACAGCGGCTAGCGGACAGGCAAGCCTCGATGCGTTCACCGTGCTTACGAACCGCAACTTAAATTAAAATAAATTGAATAATTTATTTAATTACAGTTTGACCAGTATAAGGCTATTGACAACTTCTACCAATATATTGTTGAATGTAAAACTGCAGGCATGAACTGCGGCAACCCTCTGTACTCGGACGCGGTGGTGGCGGGCGGAGTGGGCGGAGCGGGCGGGGCGGCGGCGCCTCGCTCGCTGCACGACGCCTGGCGCTGGGCGGTCGCCGCGCGCTGGCCGCTGCCCGCCGCGGCGCTGGCAGTGCTGGCGGCGCTGCTCGCTTGCGTGGCCGTGCCGCTGCTGCGCCGGCGTCGCGCCGCACGCGCCCGCCTCGCGCACCTGCACCACGCGCCCCTCAACAGCGCGCTGCACGCGCCCGGCGGCGGAGACAAGGCGCCGCCGCCGCGCGCCTCCAAGCTGTCCAACCTGGAGGCGGTGCGGCGCGAGCGGGTGGAGCGGCCCGCCTCCTGCGCCGACCCGCCGCCGCTCAACAACATCGACACGCTGCGCAGCTACGGCTCGGCGGGCGACGAGCTGGAGGGCATCCCGCCCGACTACCTGCGCAACCTCAACATAGACGCCGCGGACCGCAAGCCCTGGTCCGAGCAGATGCATCTGCACACCTTCGTCGACAACAAAATTTATAACGGTGAGTGCGCCCCCCGCCGGAGCGGCTCGGGCGCTTTTGTACGCATACCGTGCCTTCACGTGACATAAAAGAAAACAATTTCATTTATGTTGTGAATCCAAAACGATAAACACGAAATATTTGATTGCAAGTTCTATGAGAACAACCATCGAATTTTTTTTTATCGATTTTACTCGACTCATATCTAGTTGTCAAACTAATCTATCTTAAATAGACACACCATAAGTTTATGTGATGTGTGCACTTTTAGATCTCAAGGGATGCAAGCGGGGGAGCCGAGCCCCGGCGCCGACCTCGGTGGCCGCGTCGGGCTCCCCGCACCTGGTGGGCGGCTACCACTGGGACTGCTCCGACTGGTGCGGGGGCGGCGGCCTTCCCGGCATCAGCGAGGTGGCCGGCTCCGAGCGCCCCGACTCCTCGGAGCCGCCGTCCGGCCGCGAGCGCGCCTCGCCCTCGCCGCGCGCCCCGCGCCCCGCGCACCCCACGCACCCCGCGCACCCCACGCACCCCGCGCACCACGCACACGCCCCGCGCCGCGCCGCCCTCACCGACACCGACTCCGCGCCCGACGACCTCGACCTGGACGCGCTACGCTTCACCGACGGTGAGTGTCTCCTTCTCTTCTGCACTCTTGCGCTTCTCCTCTTTAATAACCGAATAATCCCCCGCTCGGGTGGTTTCTTTTTTTATTACTTTAGTAAAGTCGTAGTAGAACTTTTTGTGTTTAATTTCCTCACATTGTACATATCGTATAGTTTTACACTGGCGATAGGCAATAGGGGATGCAATCAAATGCAACATGTTTTGTATGATTTTTTTTTTTTTATACCAACAGCGTCGTCGTACCTGCTGCACCCTGACGAGTACTTGCCCGCGGCGGCCGGCTGCTGCGAGGGCGAGGACGAGGGTGAGGGCGGGGGCGGGGGAGGGCTGCGGCGGCGCGACCCGGACGCCGCCAGCCTCATCACTATGCTGGGTGTGTGATCTAATTTATGTTTGACACTCGATGGCTTTGACGTGACAGCGTGACGTTCGCTCATTCCCTCGTGTCTGAGGAGCGGCCGATCTCGTGGTATTATGTGACGTGTGTGGTTTTCTTGCAGCGGAGGAACGCCGCTCGCTGCTGGGCGGCGCCGGCGCGGGCTCCGGCAGCGACCTCTCGGCCAACCTCTGCGAGATAGAAGACTCGGATGCGGAGGAGACGGCGGGCGGCGGCGGCAGCGGCGGTGGTAGCGGCGCGCGTCACACTCAAGTGTGACGTCACGCCGCGCCCCGCCGCCCGCGCGGCCCCTAGCGCGCGCACGAACAGAACATTCCAATCACTGTGTGACTCCTTCAAGTAGCAAAATGTGAAGTGTATATATGTATATTTACATAAATAAAGTGAAGCTGTGTATAATGTACAGTTAAATGAGCTTCAACCGTGCCGATATGTGATAGTGTAAAGTATTATTTACTAAGTGGTTTGTCGTAAGATGTGTCTGGTTGTGAGTCTGTGCGAATGTATGTGCGCGTGTGTACTCTACTGAATGTCGCAAGATGCAGCGACGGCGGCCTCTGCTACTTGTGTACCTTTAGTAAATATTGTTATGTTAATATGCCTTAACCCGGCGCGACGTGACGTCTTGCAGGCGTCTGCGCCCACAGGGCGTGGGCCCCGGCGTCTGCGCCCACAGGGCGTGGGCCCCGGCGTCTGCGCCCACAGGGCGTGGGCCCCGGCGTCTGCGCCCACAGGGCGTGGGCCCCGGCGTCTGCGCCCACAAGGCGTGGGCCCCGGCGCCCACATCTCGCGCCGTTAGCATAATGTACGATGGTGCTCCGACTGTAGATTCATATCATAATTTTAATGTAAGCATTTATAAAACATTCTCCTCGTAGGATAGCGACTGATGTTATAAAATCTATTTTTATATATTATGTGTAAAGCGAGCAGCGGCTGATGCGCTCTCCTACTATTTCATAAATTATTTAACGACTGTTATGTAAGTTTTGACACGACTAATAAAACTATAAAGACATTGTGTTCTTTTTTTTCTACTTTACCATAAAAAAAGTATTATTTGAAAACAGAGTAAGTATAGTAAAAGCCCTTATTTCCGCGTCCTTCATTCTCTATTCGCGGATGAACAAAATCCTACCCAATTCCTAGATTCGCGGCTAAAGATTTCGTTATTCGTAGATCTTATCTGTACATACATAATAATAAAAAGAATTCCCGTAGGTATTTAAACCGCTCGTACCGCCGTATTTATAAACGCCCGTCAAAAGTACTAATAAAAAATAAAATAGACCTTCTTACAATTTTGTCTAATGTATGTCGTCAAATGATATCACGGCTGTATTGGTTCGGTTTTTTTTTGACATAAGTCCCCTTCGCCGCGATCAGAGCTTTTGACAATGTAAACAGAATGAAAGCAACCTTATTACTCAAACAAGTATATGTTGTTTAACCTGCCATATACAGCTTGTCCCAAAATTCAACGACAAAACGGTAATGGTGTATAGCCAGATCGATAACTACACGGGGAAAACACTAAAATAAAATCCAACTCTTTTTGTCTAAATGTTATATTAACTTCTGTGACTTTGTTTATAAATGTACACCCTCTACCATAGACACTGTGGCTACAAATATGAAGACATTCCTCCAATTTTTTTTTTGTATTATTTATATGTATCGCCGGAAGAGATCGTCGCGACCCTCCTTCCTCCAGCGTACGATCTTTTCCGGGAGGGGCTCCTCTCCTCTCTGTCGCATCAGGGCTCTTCTCCGGTAAACCTCCGCTAGGACCCCGGCTTCGAGGTCCCAGGGGAGGCTACCGGAGATAAGGCACGCCGCCTCGTACGATACGGTGCTGTACGCTCTGGAGGCCCTCTGAGGCATGGTCCGCTGCGCACGTCGCAGCAGAACCAAAGGTCAAAAAATTTCCTTGGACTGTTTTCTTAAAATTTTAGAACATTTTAACTTTTGTCCAACTTTGACATGCTTCACAGTAGTATCATTTTTTTTTTCGTTAAAGAATTCATTTTTTCTCAACATTGACTGTATTCAGCATTCGTACTATTTTGTACTAGCACATTTTTTTTTTTTTTTAGGAAATTAGAATTAGGATCGAAAGCCGAAGCAATAATTCATTGTTAATTAAAATTACTTTGATAACGAAGTTCGTAAGAGGATCTATTTCCGTGAAATATCAACTAACAGTATTTCTGACTACGTTAGCGCACCAGCTATCTGTTTATGTTTAATTGTCTTGTTGGCGCCGCTTCTGCTGCGCCCTAACAGATGGCGCTGAAGCGAGACATCGTTTGATTAAATCGTGATGTTTAGTTACAATGCCTCGCTACAAATATGTCTCCCGCGGGTCTTAAATATCAGGTGACCGTATGCTGTAAATGTCTTGCGTCCTATCATTGTTATTGCTATTGTTCGAGTCTTCCAAATTTCGGAAAATTGTCTTCCTAAGCCGTTTATTCGACTATTGTCTGAGTGCTGCCTGGACACAGTGCTCCTACTAATTGATTTAATACTATACCTAATTCTATGCATACTATACTTCCTCCTTACATCCTATACTTATTCTATACAAAATACTTAATATAAATTAGAGTTTACAGAATTAACTATAATACGAACAAAACGACATATGTACGAGTAAGTGAAATATAGTGAGACGGTGTATTGAATTAAAAACATGCATTTGTGAATATAATAACATACGGATAATATTGTGTTTGTGTATAATATATGTATATCAGGTTTACAAAATTATAAATAAAGGTTAAGACCAATGAAACAGACATCTAACGCCATCTGTCCTCTGAGTTGCAATGCATTCCTGCCGACCCTAAAACTACACTATTAGTGTACACTGCATTTTGCGAATCCATAATCGCTTACTGCATTACTTCGTGGGGAGGATCTGCTATGACTGCTATGCTCGAACTAGAGAGAGCTCAAAGAGCGGTGTTAAAAGTGTTGCTCAACCGTAGGAAAAGATCCTCGACATCTGCTTTGTACTCGGAGGCTGGGGTTCTCAGTGTACGGAAAATTTTTATATTAAGGACATTTATTTTACAGCATATAGCTATTGCAAATAGTACCAATGGCCAAAATCTTCATGCAAAGCGAAAACCTAAAGTGCCCATACCGAAGGTTAATTCCTCATTTGCTCAACGTTTTGTGCATTTCCTAGGTCCCTACATTTACAATATAATTTTAGAAAAATGCGACATTAAGCGAGACTCGGTTAACAAAGCCAAAATAAAATTAAAGTCGTGGTTGCTGAAACTAACGTACAAGGATACAGAAGACATTCTTAAAATAATATGTTAAGTTTATCACTAATGTTTAGCATGTATAACTTTGATTTAGCTTCTTTTCTAAAACAAATGGCACTTGATTATTTGTATTTTACTTAATTTGTCGCCGTCTAACGAACCTCTGATAAAACTTAAGAGCAGGATCCTCGCGACACAGGCTGCGCCTAGTCCCCACGGAGGCCATGGAGCCGGCCGTCCTCAGCGCGGTGGTCGAGGGGCTGTTTCCTAACAGCCCCCCATTCGAACCACCGCGCATGGCACCGCCAAGTGCCGAAGATGAGGACGATGCCGCCCTAGACCCTCCTCTGATAACAGAGGAGGAAATGGTATGGGCGGCTCGCCGGCTCCAAGGACCCCGGAAAGCCCCGGGACCGGACGGCGTGCCCGGGAGGATTCTCCCCACCGCACTAAAACACCTCGGGGATCGCCTACGCTGCCTTTTCAATGACTGCCTGGCAGCGGAGCGTTTCCCTGAGGTGTGGAAGGAGGGGCGGCTGGTGCTTATCTGGAAAGACGGCCGCCCCGCGGACTCTCCGGCAGGATACCGCCCGCTGGTGATGCTGGATGAGGTCGGGAAGCTACTGGAACGTGTGCTGGCTTCCCGAATCATCCAGCACCTAGCGAGGGACGGGCCGCAGCTCTCCGTGAACCAATTCGGGTCCGGTCGGGACGGTCCACAATGGACGCCCTGGCCGCCCTGAAGAGGTTCACCGAGGAAGCGGCCCAGAGGGGGCAGGGAGCCATAGCGGTGTCATAAGACATCGCTAACGCCTTTGGCTCCCTCCCCTTCTCGGTAATAGAGGAGGCGCTCCGGTACCATGGAGTGCCCCTCTAACTGCGGAGATTTGTAGGGCAATACCTGCAGGGACGGGTAGTGTCCTACATGGGGAGAGAGGGCCGCCAAGAGAGGCGGATGGCCTCCGGTGTTCCCCAGGGGTCTGTATTAGGACCCCTGCTCTGGAACATCGGATACGATTGGGCCATCCGCGGAGAGGTGCTGCCCCGGATGGCGGTCATCTGCTATGCAGATGACACGCTGGTCGCCGTCCGGGACACCACCTGGAAGAGAGGGCGGAGAAGGGCTGAGGCCGGAGTCACCCTGTTGACCCGGAGGATCGAGGCGCTAGGCCTCCGAGTGGCCCTCAGTAAAACCGAGGCCCTCTGCTTCAAAGGGCCGAAGTGGAGGGTACCGGCGAGGGCCACCCTCCGGGTCAACGGCGACGAGATCGGGGTCAAGGCCCGGATAAAATATCTGGGTCTTGTCCTCGACGGGGGATGGCGTTTCGGGGACCATTTTCGAGCGCTGACCCCCCGGCTCGTGGGCGCGGCCTCAGCCCTTGCGAGGCTCCTCCCTAACCTCAGAGGTCCGGGTATACATGCAAGGCTGCTGTACACCACGGTCGTCCGAAGCATGGCCCTGTACGGTGCGCCAATATGGGCAGACGCCCTCAACGCATCGAACAGGGCCCTCCTCCGCAGGCCGCAACGCATTGTTGCGGCGCGTGCTTGCCGGGCCTACCGTACGGTAGGCCACGCGGCGGCCTGCGTTTTGGCCGGCACCCCGCCTTGGGAAATAGAGGCGGGAGTGCTGGCTGAAGCCTACTGGGCGCGGGCGGAACAAAGAGCCCGGGGCGAAGTACCGGCCCCGGAGGAGCTCTCCCGTGCCCGGGAGGCGAGGAGGAGGACGACCGTGGAGCTCTGGGCGAGTGGCCTTATGCACGCCGAATATGGGTCCCTTCCGTCTGACACAGGTGCTGTCCGGAGACGGCTGTTTCGGGTGGTACCTGGGGAGGATTGGAATGGGGAGGAGAAGGCGGCAATATGTCGCCGCCCTCCCCCCCCCCCCCCCC